GAGAAGAGAAGAGAAGAGAAGAGAAGAGAAGAGAAGAGAAGAGAAGAGAAGAGAAGAACCATCTGGGTGGAGATGAAGAGAGGGAAGATAAGAGAAAATTGAGGAATCTTGTTTAATCATTATAAAAAAAAAATCACTAAGAGAGAAGCTGGCCTACTTCAAAGGAATCCATGCTTTCTGTCAGATGTCTTTAGTCATTCCCACCAACTGACTGTTAATCTATTTTCAAAAGCATCTTCTATCATAAATACCTCCAGTTCACAGAAAATGCGGGGGGGGGGGATTTTTCCCTTCTGTTTGGCAGATACTATCAGAACATATACATGAAACTGACACAGACTGGATTCAGACGTGCAATTACGTCAGGTAACTCCTAAAATGCACATGAAGCTGACATACTTGGCTACAGCTTGCTTCCTCCATCCCACCTGAAGACACATCAAAGCAGGTAGATGACCAGCCCAATTTCATACCTGCCACACTCCTACCACTGCATTAGCAATGAGGATCATAATAATCACAACCGGCTCCACAAAGGCTGTGGTGGTTTCTTCACCTTCCTCAAACCAGGCCAGAATCTGCAGAGGAGAGGAGGAGGGAGCAGGGAGGAGATGAGGAGGAAGACTTCAGACAACCATCTCAAAAAACAAACAAGATGAAAGGCAGCCATAGCCAAGGGCTTCATTCTACCCAAAAGGAGAAGAACTGACCAAAAATACTGTAGCTTTCAGAGGTTGTTAGGAGAAGTTGTTTTTATTCATCAGCAAGTTTGTCTGAGAAGATAGAACATTTCCTCCTACGATGGGGGAGAGGACGCTTGAATATATACATCCATACTTATGGAGCATTGCAGTAGGAAAACAGACTTGCATTGCCCATGGAAGAGCTGCAACATTTAGAATTCTTACCTGCTGTTCTACTTTAAAAAAAGGTGTGATTTTGCTTGTTAGTTATTTCTGAACCAGAGAGAGATTAGCTTATACTTTAAATCTAGCATCTTGGATTCTCGCATGAATCAGATTGAAGAACTTCATAGAAGGAAAGTTTCCAATCCCCTTTCCTCCCCCAATCTCAGAAGACACCTTCAATCTCTGAAATGCCACCCTAGATGTTGGAGGAAGGGGGCTGTGGAACAATGTCAGAAGGGGCACAAGGACATGCCTCAAATCGGGATTCTGAATTAAATTAATTTAAGCTGGTTCCTGGAACAAGTTTTCAGCTTTTTCCTTCCCTAGCAGCAACAACTGTGTCTTTTCCTACATTTTTCCAGGAGAGCCTTTTTCATAGCACGGAAACGTAGAAGCTGGATCTGAAAGGAGCACTGAGGCTACCCCTGCTTAGCATAAGACTCTAGATTAAAGTATTTCTGAGAAACGCTTCTCCAACCTTTGTTTGAAGACATTAAATAAAGACAAGCCCATAACTTCCTTTGGTAATTAGTTATACCATTTGGAAATTTTTGCTAATGTTCAACCAGAGTCTGCCTTCCTGTTTCTTAATCATCTCAAGACTCACATGCTGTGTGGCCAAGAAAAGCTTGTGGACTTCTTCTATACCACATCCCTTCAGGTGCTTGAGGAGTGTTATCATGTCCCTCCACAGTCTTCTCTTCTCAAGCCTAAGCCTACCCAGTCCCCTTAATTGCTCCCTGGAGGATGTTGTTTCCAATCCCCCAATGAATCTCAGTGCCCAAGGAACAGTTTAATTTACAGGTTCAGAGTCAGGAATTGTCAACTTGTCAACCCTTCGAGGTAGTTCAGACAGGAAGCCAAACCATGATACTACCTTTATTGTAAGGTTACAGTAACAGAACCTTGCAAGTCTGAACGCACTTCCTCCCTTCCCTGCCTTTATGTTCCAGAGAACTATGTTTTCTTTATGTTCCCTTCTGAGATGTTTTCTCTACCTCTATCCCTCCTTTGGACTCAGATCATGCTGGCCAGGAAATCCTGGGAGTTGAAGTGCACATATCTTAAAATTGCCAAGTTTGAAAAATACTGGCTTAGAGTATTGAAAATAGAGAAGACAAGACAAATATTCTGTCAATATTAACTACAACTTAAGATTCCAGTACTACCAGCATAAAATTATTTAGCTTTTTCATCCGAAGTTGAAAGCTTTTATTTTGTTGTGTTATAATTTTCACACTCCTTGTAAAAACTGCGCATTGTTTTGAGATTCCTGGTGAAAAGTGTTTTCTATATACTTTTAATCAATATAGAATATTTGTTTAAATAAATGTTGCAGTGCATTGCTATCATACAGCTCCATAAACATTCTTTACGCTGCTCAGAATACTTTTCATGGAGAAAGAGCAAGAGTGTTTATTTCAAACTCTGTTTTTCATTTTCATTCTTTTAAAAATCCCATAGTGCTTTATAATAAAGTCATCACAAAATAAAGTGATAAAAATATTCCAGTGTGATGGAATAACAAAATAACAAAATCCAAAAATAAATAAACTAAAACCATAAAATACGACAAGTCTGATTGTCGGGAATCCCTGACAATCTACTACTCAACAATTTCAAATTATTTATTATACCCATAAGGCCAAAAATTTATAAAATACTACATGTAGACTGTCAGGAATCCTTGACTCAGAGAGACACCCAACCACATAAATGAACTTTAATTGATTGTAGAAGCACTCTGGAATGGGAGTCAGCTTAGAGATGTAACTTTATTGGTTCCACATCATGCTGCTAAGTAAAAGTCACTAAGTAAGCAACCCAGCCTATGAAAAAGACTACGTAATTTATGGTTTCTAGACTCCAAAAATGTTTGCTAACTTCAATAAACCTCATTCTCTAAAATTATTACATCCTAAATAAAGTGAGATTTATTGAAATTAAACATCTTCCAAAGTCTAGAGGCCATCAGTTACTTCACTGCCTACATTTGTTACTGAAAAGGCTACCGGAAATGCCTTTTTCTTATCATGGCCTTCATCTCATCCCAAGCCCATGAGACAGGCAGCCTTAAATTGTCCTTAGTTGCTGTTGTTGTTTATTCTTAGCATTTGTCTCATAGGGTTGCATGGTTCACATATGTCCTTGCTTAGTTCTTACAGGGTGTAATGTGATGAGAAAATCTGTTTCTCAGCCAGTTTGTTGCAGAGCCTGATGTTGGTTAAGGCTGAGAGAGAGCAACTGGCCCAAAGTCACCCATATGGCTTGGGCGCCTATGGGAGGACCAGAACCTGGGTCCCTGTGCTCCTACCCAGCACCTCAACCACTATACCACACTGGCTCTCAGGCTAAGTCAAGAGTTCTTAACCTTTTTGTGCCATGGGTCCCTTTGAGAATCTGGTAAAACTTATGGACCCTTTCTCAAAAAAAAGTGTTTAAATGCATACAATTATATACAAAGGAAACCAATTATGTTCAAATGCAGCTATCAAAATAAATATTACAAGGCAAAGATTGGCTTTTCTCAAGAAACACCAGTGTTCTCCAAGACTTTTTGAGTTAAATTATATTCAGCTTTTTTAGGGTACAATAATTCTAGAGAGTGAGATTGACTGAAGTTAACCAACATGCTTGGAGTCTAGATGCCATTTTTAAATTACTTTATTGTCTATATCCTTCACTGAATGAAAAGCTACATTTCAGTTAGAGGGTAGGGAAAATAAAGTTGTAATTTTTTTTCCCTATCCAAGTTGACAGATCCCCTGAAATCTATCTATGGACCCCAGGTGAAAAAACCCTGGTTTAAGTTGTCTGCTGTACTCATGCTAATATAGTATTTTATTATTGTCAGCTGCCCAGAGTCACTGGTCTGAGATGGGTGGCTATATAAATGGAATGGATGGATGGATGGATGGATGGATGGATGGATGGATGGATGGATGAATGAATGGAATGAATGGAATGAATGAATGAATGAATGAATGAATGAATGAATGAATGAATTTCCCTCCTTGAACCCAGTCCAAGAAAGGCCACCTCAAGATAGGTCATCCCTGCTAGCTGGCTGGGAAATGCTGAACTAGGCAATAAAGAAAGGCTTTGAGGAGGCCAGTATCAATGACAACACAAAGCCCCTCCCTTATTAAAAGTGGATATGGGTGCAGTTTACATTTTGTTTTATTTGCATTTTGGTGTTTTTGATGATGTTTTAATTGATGTGAGCCTCCCAGAGTCACACATGTGAGATGGGCAGCTATACAAATTGAAAAAATAAAAATAAAATAATGTTCTTCCATTCAGTCACCATCCCATGGTCTACAGCAGACAATGGTTCTTGCTGTAACTTCCTGCAGTCCCGAGCAGTAGATTCAATGGTGAGGCATGCTGGGAGATGTAGTTCAATAATGCCCAGAGGGCCATCGGCTGCCCAGCTGTAGCCTACCACATGCTGCAGCTTCCATTGACTATTGTTTATGCAGAAAAAACTTGGAAAATGTAATCTGAAAATTGGAGCTTTTTAAAAATGGCTTAGCTAAGCGGTGGGTGGTAAAAGCAGACCGAATTCTTCCAGCAAATAATTTTCTCAGGTGGAATGAAGTGACCGGAATCTCCTGTAGCTACACATTTGACACCAAAACACAATGGTTACTAAACAGAAACTTTCTCAATACTCTAATATCGTTTGTGGATTTTTTTTTTAACTCTCTCCTCTTTCAGCTGAACATTCCTGGGAAATATTCCTCTGTTAGCTAGTTGCAAAGTTAATTTTCCTTCTTCTGACGGAAAGCCAGCTCAAAAGTCAAAGGAGCTGGTCCCTGTTGAGTTAATGCTACATTTGGAAACAACACACTGAATTGAACAGGCACCGTTGAATCCCCACTGATCTGGATCCACTTTGAGGGCTTTCAGTTTCTATCAGATTAAGCCCTTGATGTTAATAAGAAAATAAAGTTGAGGAGAGAGAACAGAAACTCAACAGGATATATATGATCTCTTATTCAAACTGTTATAATCTGGCAGAAAGGGAGGGGGGAAACAGAAGGGAAAATGAGAAGTTATTTCAGACTTTGTTTCCCAGTATATATGTATTTGAAAAAGGGCCCATCTCTGAAAACACACACTTGACTGTAGCGTGCACTTGCTGGACTAGAGTTGGTGGGACAAGCAAAAGAACACTACGAAATTGCCTTTGCGAGATAGGATGGCCACAATGATACACCATGGCACAGGCTGACATAAAGATATTGTATTGGCTGTTTAATCTTTAATCCTTCTTCCTTTGACTGTCCATAATTAGTATCTTTATTGAGAAATTGCTTCTCTTAAGAGCCCTTTAGATCATTCACTCTAATACCAAACTCAGCCCGAGGACGGGATCTTGTGAAATAGATGGAGATAGCAGTGTCCCTGGAAGAGCCCTCACTTTGACAAAAGTGCAAAAGAATCTTTCCTTTTTAATCTTTATACGAAATGCTCCCCAAAACAGCTGAAGGAGGATGAAGCACACTCCGTTCTGCAAAATGCCAAACGCCCATTGCTTTAAGGCAGGACTACACAACATTTTTGGGGCACCACTGGAGCTCACCAAGATTGTGTTGCTTTGTTGTAAATGGATAACATATTTTCTAGCTTTCTCTGGGAGGGGGAAGTAATTAAGGATAATAGGTGTGCTGACCACCCCATAGCCTTAATAAATACACATAAGTAACACTCAACCTAAGAAACTAGGGGGAAAGTCCAAAAAGTTGTTCTTGTCCAAGGAGGTACTACATGGAACATGTAATTCCTCTCCACTGCTCAAAAGTAAAATAAAAGTCTTTATTTCATTCTTCCACACCCACTTTTAACATGTGGACTATGTTTCAGAGATACCTTTTTGTAAAGTACCCTGCCAATTCCATTGCAGGTATGTAAATTATTTTGGTTAATAAAAATCAGGCAATTGCGAAATTAAAAAATAGACACAAAATGACCTTTGGCTCATCCTTCTTATGACTCCTTCGCAAGTAGTCATTTTTTCTTCATGATAAGAAAAAAATTGCCCTGAGATTCCCACTAAAATTCATGACGAAGCTCCCTGGCCTTCTCTGAGTTGAGCTTGGCTCCTGGCCACTACATGGAAATGTAGTTTTCTTGACAACAACACAGCAATGGTTCACTGCTGCTTTCCTCCAGGACGTTTTTTCAGCTAAATCTACAGCACTGGGTTTCTTTGTGGTCTCTCATCTCAGTACCAGTCACATTTGATTTTGCTTTACTTGGTGGAATCAGTTAAAGACGGCTAAGTGTAGCAACCTAGCTGGGTGCATCTTGCTTTACTAGCATGACATCCCTTTCCACAACCCCTAGCAACATCTTATACTTAAATAACTTGAAGTACCGTATTTTTCCGACTATAAGACGATACTTTTTTCTAAAATCCTTACACTAAAAATTTAGAGCTGCAGAGAGACGGTTTGGACCTCCTCCCACCGAGTGTATCAGGTAAATGTTACCTAATTGCTAAATAAAAATGTGTTCTGCACTATCTTTAAAATATTGATTTCTTAATTTTCAGTTGGAAAAGTGGGAGTCGTCTTGTATATGGTGGCGTCTTATTGACGGAAAAATACGGTATATTGTGGAGGACAAATAATATTCTCCATATATACATGATGCTAAACTACATAGTAGACCAGTGTTTCTCAATCTTATCAACTTTAAGATGTGTGGACTTCAACTCCCAGAATTCCCCAGCCAGCATGAGGATGAAGATTGAGAAACACTGTAGGAGACAGAGCAGGCCAGCTGAAGCTGCCTGATAACCCTGGAAGGGAAGGAGGCAGATAATGAAAACCAAGTTGTTGTCTTTTCTGTGGTATGAAGGGACTCAATATATGAGTACAATAAAGGACACTGTTTATGTTAGAAGGTGCTAGTGCAGTAGAAAGGGCAGGCTTGGAGTCTCTTTAGAATCATAGAGTTGTAAGGGACCTAAGAGGTCACGAAGCCCAATGCCCTGCACGCTGTAGAATTCACTACACCAACCCCCATAGATGACTACCTTGAGAAGAGCAGAACGCAGAAGTTCTGAGCAGGCCACAGTAAGGTCACCCCATGTGGTTAACAATGTGGTTAACAACAACAACAACGTGGTTATCAGATCCTGCAGTGAAGGTCATGTTGTAATTGACATTGCTCTTCTAAGTCTTATCTATCATTTCATAGGGTATATAACCTGTAACTTTGCGGGCTTTGGGGTTCTTCTGCATTCCTCTGGCAAGGAGCCCCATGATCACTGTAGCTTTTATTGACAATAAAAGATACTTGGATGCATCTATCGCCAAACACTTTGGCTTCTTATTTAAGCGGGCATTTTGCCCACAACAATATGTAACTGAAATTATGCAGTGCGTATGATTTTCTCATTCCGTGGCCTCCATTCCTACTTTTCCCTCCGTTGTCTCCTTCACACTGAGTGAGATCTCCTTACAAGGTCTATGTATGTACTTGTGTGGACTACAGAATTTTCTATTGCTATTATGAGACATGAAATGTTAAAACAAAAATCTGGAGGCACATACTTTCTATATCTTGTAGCCCTTGTACATTTTCAGGGTATGTCGCATATTAATCTAATCAAGGTTTTTGGCTATTTGCATGCAAAGTTTCTCAGCATCTCCAGTTAAAACTAGGATTCTCATACCTTTTGTATCATGGACCCCCTTGAGAGTCTGGTGAAACCTACAATCTCTTTTATGAAAAATGTATTTAAATTTAAATGCATAAACTAAAATACATAGATATTGGTTGTATTATAAAAGAAACCAATTATAATCAAATACACTTATCAAATTATTTAAAAAATAACACATACATAATATAAGTGCTTCTTTATTAATCCATTAAATCAATAACAAGAACATACCCTTTTTAAGGTGTAATAATTTGAGTGACAGATTTATTGAATTTAAGAACACTTTTGGAGTCTAGAAGCCATACATTACTTTGTTACCTATATACGTACATTATTGAACAAGAAGCTACGTTTCAGTTAGAAGTGAAAATAAACCTGTATTTTTTTCCTCATCCAAGTTCATAGACCCCCTGAAATCTATCCATGGATCCCCAAGGGATCTGTGGGCCCCAGGTTAAGAACTTCTGACCTAAAGGGAGGGATAAAAGCTTCCGCTCATCCCAGCTACAAAAATCTTGGAGAATCACACCAATCTGTACAAACAGGGCGGAGCCAGAGCACCCTTGATATCTGGCAGTTTTCTATGCTGCTACATTTCACCCCGAATGACAAGCTGTCCCACTCTGTTTGAAAAGCCGACTAGAAAAATCAAGCTTTTTCTGTGAGATTAGCACTCGTTTTCTGGATTGGACTGAACCAGGTCAGCCTCGACATCTGCACTAATGATCCATGAGTTGAAAATTTAATTATTAGGAAATCATTTGAAGAGCTTCACTTGTTAATTTTTTGAAATTTCTAGCCCTTATGCATAGAGACCTGTGAAAGGTGAGCAATGCATTGCAAAGCAAGAGGTCTGCAGAATAAAAATACCAGGCTTAAAAGGGTTTCAGATCTTTGATCCTCCAGGGTTTGTTAGCAGACTCCGATTTAAATCATAAAAATGCCTAAGTTAGGCAAATCCTCTTAAATATGCATAAATTATTCTTTTTTCAGAATGCAGATTCTCTTACTGCAGAATTTGTTTTGGTGTGAATCCTCTTTTTCCTCTTCTTGGGGCTTAATCTGCAAAATTATTTATTCAATAACCCAACTGAGCTAACCGTACTTACAAAGGAAACAAACGCAGCCAAGAGAAGGATGCGCACGAGGAGATCTTCAAACTGTTCCAATATCAGCTCCAGAAGTGATTTCCCTACAAAGTTAATTTAAAACTTCTGTTAGAATAATAAAAATCATCCCTAGAAATACCCCTTATATATGTATTTAAAACGCAGAATGCGTAAAAGACTACAGTTGTAATTTCTTCAAAAATATTTGCAAGCTCGTGTACACTTATTAGGGAATACATCTCACTGACTATAGGAGACTTACGCCTGATCTTCAAAAGCAAGGGATTGTTCTTGGATGGTATTTTTTAAATATATATAACCCAACAAGAACACCAATAAAACTCCTGGCACACCCAACATTTAACAGGTCAGGGAGAAAGCTAGAATGTAATTACTAACATTAGTTTTCTAGTTTTTTATATGCAGAGAGCTAACACCGGTGGAGGAATATCAAGATGGGGTATTCAGGGACATAGTGTCCAGACTACAGAAGCTCCAAGTGTCACAACTTGGGCACATGTGTGCAGGAACCACTGGAATTTTATCACTCATGGTAAACACGCCCACCATATAAAGGTATCACTCATGGTAAATATGCCTACCACATAAAGATCCTCTCACAGTGACTACATGAAGCTTTTCCCATCCAGATCAAACTAGTGGGTATCTTAAATATTATAATTTCATTTACCCTATGGGTGGCAAAAAACAGCATACCTACAACATACTAGCAAAGTAGATTATTTAAAAGATAGCCATGATTCCAAGATCAGTCCAAAGAACTTTGGGGTGACCTGTAATTTGAACTCAACTTTCTCTCCTTTGCCCCCCACAAAGCCCATGGGGCTTCCCCTTCCTGCCAAAAATCAAACAATGGCTAATAGGAATCCGCCTTACCTTCTTCAGCTGGAAGTTCTGTAGTTTCCAGTGGGAGATCCGCAAAGCACAGCCAATGGGAATGAAGGATAAAAAGAACAGAAGAGTGTTGAGTGGCAGACATACAAACATTACCCAATCATTTATTCTCCCAGTAATCTATGATTTTGCAAGAGCCAATTTTTTCCCCATTCATCCAACTCAGCTCTTTTGTCACCAGATACTAACAAATGGATGTGACAATCTCAAAGGTGTACTGATATACCACCCAATGCCCATAAACCTATGCTGTACTGTCAATATTCCATGCATAATAAAAGGGAAATTATAGCATGAAATTGGCCTACACGTAGGCTTTTCAAAGTGCCACATTCAGTCTTTCATGTCCAAGAGCCCTGGATGTATGACAGGAAAATTGGCTAGAGGCCAGAAAGAACTTTTCTGCTCCCCATCAAGTGAATATAAACAGATTTGGATCAAAATATCATCCCACATGACTTTTATACTATAATGCCTAAGCCCTTCATCTTGTTTTTGATATCTACTAAAAAGATTACAAAAGATTATCAAAACTTTAGAATTCTAATCTAACGCAACTAATCTAACAACTGCAGCCAGAGCTGAAATAACTATGACATGGACAACTTTTCAACTAGATTTTCTCAATCATACTTTCCCCTCCTTGAAAGCTGTAAGAGGATTTATAAATAAACTAATGAAAGCCTTCATTCTATAGCTTTGTGTTTATTGGCAAGGGCAAAGATTATACCTGGCTGCCTTGTAACACAATGGGATTGTTTTGAAAGTGCTGAGTTTACCTGTTTTCAAATTTCAACATCCTTCTACTAGCCTTGTTGTAGGAGTTTTCCATGTCATTCTGGACAGGTGAAGGTGAATATTAAACTTCAGGGATCTACTCACCCCAACCAGGCTGGCCTTTTGTAAGCCTTCAAGATCTGGTTTTGTCATCAAGCCTGGGTCCCTGGATATGTGGCTGAGCCCATATCATGTTTATGTTAATTGTTGGGGGGTGTTTATATATAGCTAATATATATGTTATTTATGGTTTTTGTTTATCTTGTTTTTAAGTATTGTTAGCCACTGAGAGTCATGTATTTGAGATGGGTGGCCATACAAACTGAATAAATAAAATTCACTAAATGGAGCAAAGCAATGGCTCAAGGGTAAGCTGTGTGCAAGATATTAGTTCAAGGGGCAGAACTACTGTAATTACCTGGTATAGTTCATAAACAACTGGGATGATTTATAGAGCCAAGCCCAGATCTATACCTGACATAATGGAGACTTCCAATACCTCAGCTTAGGTAATTGCAATCTTGCCCATGAAATAAGTTTGGAAAATTCAGCTAGTGAACAAAGAATTGGCTCACTTTTTAAATCAAATAACTTTGGTCTTGTTCCAAGTGTATTCATTTCAGATTTGTTTCTGGATCCAGTTCAAAAGATGATACTGGATGGTGGACTAAGGTAGATCATCACTACCTTCCTTATGAATTACTTATAAGTTAGGATAGTTTTTGGAGGCCCTGTGTTTCACTACTAAAAAGGACCTGACTGGGGATAAACATGGATGTGAAACTAGTTTCATCCCAAATGTTGCTTAGGTCAGCAGTGAAAATATTCTTACTTTGCAAGGTTTCTAATATAGTCTAGGTAAACTTTGCTTGAACTTCAAGGGTTTTCTGAGACTGATATACTCCTGCATCTATGATTGATCTCTGACCCCACCAACCTGCAAATATCAGATCTTTAAAAAATCGGATATTTGCAAATTCCTGTACAAAATGATGTGCCTTCTCACCTCTTTGGAACAGAACTTGGAGAAATGTTAAAGCTGAACAATAGCCACATGTTTTATTTGCTGATTGCCTTTATATCCACTGAAAACATCAGACTCTTGGAAGTTTACATTAATAAGCACACAAAACAAGAACAATAAAAACTTCCCTGGTAGGACAACAAACAAATTCAAAAATTATAACCTGGGTTATAGATCAGTCACACCTGGGTGTCTTCATACACCACAGACCAATCAGCTTTTCACATTTTCTGGCAGGCCAAAATTAAGGGGAGCTGAGCCTGATTTCCATCAGGTGGCTGTTCCCCACTATTGGCATTGACATGGAAAAGCAGGGCCTATGAGCATAGCACTGCATAGCACATAGAGGTAGGGGAGTTATAAGTGTTTCTCTTGGGATTCAAAAGTTGATTCCAACTGGAGAGGCAGTCCAGTAGGAACATCACCCGTATCAGGCTTTATAGACAATGACCAGCAATCTGAATTGCCCATGATCTTAAAGATGGCCTACAAAGGATTCCTTCCCCCATTTTTTAATCCTCATAGCAACCTTAGGAGTTAGTGATACACCCTAGTTTTTTTTAAATTATGATTTGTTAAGTCATAAGCTTGGGGGTTTCGCAGAACCCTAAGCCATACACAATGGGTTATAAAGTGTAACAGCTGGGTAGATGCATCGTACGGAGCCAAAATTAAACATGCCACATCATGTCTTAGCATAATAGGTTGATCCACATAGTGATAGCTCTAAAGGAAGCCAGTGAGCCTGACGGCTGAGGTGGGATTTGAACCTAGAACCTTCCTTTCAGTCCTGGTCTCCCGCTGCATCTACAGTACCGTGCCAACAGCACAATTCTTAGCTATTTAAATGCATTATAATTATGCATGAGTTTCATCTGAGATAAAACACAAACTCTTAAATATGACATTTGGGGAGGGGGGAAGAGGGGAACGGACACTTTAAATACCCTGCTTTGAGCTTTAAGAAAATCATCTGATTGCTACAGAAAATAGGTGAGAATGCTCAAAAGCATTACGTACGGGATGATACTCAGCAGATTCATCCCCTCTCATGTGCCTCTTAAGTGACAGTAAATATTCCATGCAGATTGTTGAATTATATTTTGAGGGGGAGGGGAATTAAAAACTGGGTTCCCCAAAGCCGCTCATCTGCACTCTTAAAACGCTCACATACACATGGACACACACACACGCACACGCACGCACGCACCTTGATTAACATTCAGTGAATGAATTCACTATTCATAGCAGGCCCCCAAGTGACTCACAACTGCAGACAAACTACAGAATAAAGCATCTCATTGCGGTTAGGCAGCAATTTGATTTTCTGCAGAGGAAGTGAGAGCACCAAGGGTGATAACACATGGGACACCTGGCAGATACTTGCACTGTAACTCTATTTACTCAGTAAGGACCCTTGTAGGCAAATTCAGAAATACAGCTTTTTTGCCAAGCCACTGCTCTTCATATGCATTGGAATATACTCCCTTCCTCTCTAACCATAGAGGTGTGAGATGATGACAGGCAGAGCGTCCAGCTTGTCTACAAAGTGTTAGGACAGGCAAGCTTCAATCTTACTAGGGAAGCCTGGTTTGTGGAAGAGAGAAACAAACGGATTCTCATTTCTATTTGAAATGTTAATTTCCTCTTGCCAGGAAAAAACAGAAGAGGTCAGAAAGAATCAAAGCTTCCAACCACAGGCGGAACATCTGCCTCATACAGAGCCAGAAAATTGAGCTCTGTCTACCTCAGCTTTGCCTGCCCCAACTGGTACTCCCTCTGTACAGATTCTGAGAGGTGGAGTTTGAAATGGGGGGAATATAGACAACAGCTTGGGATGGAAAATCTAGGTACCATCCACAAGGGGAAGCAAGAGAGAATGGAAATCTTTTTGACTTGGAGTAGAAAAGCATCTCCTGGCAAATAGAAGGGGTAGAAATGGAAGCAGTAACAGACTTTATTTACTTGGGCTCCAAGATCCCCGCAAATGGAGACTGCAGCCATGAAATTAAAAGATGCTTGCTCCTTGGGAGGAAAGCTATGGCAAACCTAGACA